AATATCAAAGTTTGAGGTTCAAAATTTGAATATTCCCTCCTGTTTTTTTATGCAATTTCTCCTATTTATCAGTTTCATGTTTCCATCTATCTCTCTTCTGTCAGTCGGCCTGATCACTGTGTGCAGTATCGCTTTTATGTGAGTGAATGTTAGAATACAACATATGTAACAAGTTGGTTGCAACTTATTGTTTAACATTTAGAACCGTAACTGAATGCACCATTTTACTGAAACTTCATTTCACTTTTGTTTCCTGTTCTCTTTGCTCCATGTTTTCTTATGTGAGATTGAAATGATATAGATGTATTGCAGAAATATGGATTAATTTATTTTGCATTTTTACCATTTGCAGTGCCCAAACAGGAGAATTTGTGATTCCAGTTAATCATTCATGCATTGTGGAGTTGAAAAGAATCCCAAGGTCTGCCCATCTGGTTATTGGTCATAATGGTTTTGGAGAATTTAGTCTATGGTATGTAGATCTCTCCTTAAGGTTTATATTCTTTTATCAAGATAATGAATTTTGGTAATCTCTAATGTTATACTTGGAACAAATGATCTCTACAAAGAAACATAGAATTTATTTGTGCATCTACATTTTTTATGTCTAGAAAGGCAGATAAAATATAGATTTCCAAACTCTAGTACAATTCATTTGTTTCAAGTGTAAGCCTTAAATTGTTTCTCATCATTCAAATTTGTAGATAACTCATATATTCAAATATGCTTGATTTGACTTTGTTTCATCCACATTTTGTTATATCTCAATCACAATTCCATGTTTTGCTTAAACCCACAAGGTTTGTTCTTGATGTTTATTGAACATAATAACAGATTTTTCTTTTTAAATTTATTTCTTGTACAGCGCATAATAATATTTGGTTCTTGGGTGCTTCCTCTTCTCACCTTCTAAAACTAGGGGATTGTTGTTATTATATATATATTTTCTTTGGGGGGTTGGGATTATGTTTTCCTGCCGTCTTCTACAAATCATGAATTCAAACATTCCACTGCAAAGGTGTATTTGCTTCATTTTTTGTTCAATTCGTAATTAATTTTTGCTGTAACTTATATATTAGTCTTAATTTGTATAATTAAAACATAATTTGTTGTGATTTGAGTTGCCATCACCTTCACTTTTAATTCTCTTACGGTGGAAATTTGATTCTTAGATCAGCAAAGAATTCAAAGTGAGTTAGTAGTAATTTAAACACAACAAATTATGTTCTAATTATGTGTACTAAGGCTAATGTTCTTTATGGTAAAATAAAATAAATCAAAAGCGTAACAAGGAGGTATAACCCATCTGCAAAAAACTACAAAGAGAAAATTTTGATTGTTAAGATTTGTTCGCTTTTACTTTCTACAGCTTGTGAGGAATGAATGTGTTTCTCTTTGGATATTAGGGTCTTATATGTACAATTTTATATGAGTAATAAAAGGAAATACAATTAATTATAAAGAGAATGGTTCATTGCTAATATATCCTTTAATGTACTAAATATACTCTTCCCAATACTCTCTCTCAAGCTAGCGGAATTAGATAGTATCCACTCCCAACTTGGTAATAATTGTCTACAATCCAGGATTGCTCAATTCTTTAGTCAACATATTGGCAAGTTGCAAAATGGTGGGTATAAAAAGTGTGTATCAACCCACTATCCAAATTTTCCTTGACGAAGTGCCTGTTGACTCCAATGTGGTTGGTTTTATCATGTTATACTGAATTGTGAGTGATACTAATTAGCAACTTATTGTCACAGTAGACTCTTATAAGCCCATCCTATTTATTTTCCAGACTTTCGGGATCATTTTTAACAGTAGGAGCTTACATACTTCTTGCATTACTGCTTTGAATGTTAACTCTGTAATAGACTGGGCAACCATATTCTACTTCTTACTTCTCCAAAGAAGATACAATAATCAGTAGTAGATCTTCTGTCTACTAATGATCTTGTTTGATTTGCATCAATGTATGTTTTAAAAAATAGCCCATTGTTTCTTTAAACATAATTTCCTTCCCTGGTGTACCTGCAAATAGTAGAGTATTTTGTAGGCAGTTTGTAGGTATACTTTTTTGCGCTTGTGCATGAACTGGTTTACTACACTTATTGCATGAGCGATCTTAGGCTTGGTATGCGATAATATATCAATTTTCTAACCAGTCTCTCTTATATTTCTCTGTCAACTTCTTTCTCTTCTTCTGCTAATCCCAGTTTATGATTGGATCAATTGAGGTGCCAGCAGACTTGTAGGTAATCTTGCTGGTTTACTTTAGAAGATTAGTGACATACTTTTGTTGTGATACGAATATTCCGAATTTCGAATAAGCTACTTCTATCCGAAAAAATAATAATAATTTTTTTAATATTTAATCTTAAATTCTCTAGTTAAACATTTTTTAAGCACTGTTTTTTTTTATTTATCATTACCTGTTATAATTATGTCATCTATATATATATATATTAGCAGAACTGTAACTTCCTAAATCTGAGTGTTTAATGAATAAGGTATGATCTCTCTAACTTTGTTTGTATCCCATGGACAGCGTCACTTTTAAATCTTCCAAACTATGCTTGAAGAGATTGCTTGAGTCTGGATAGTGCCTTACTTAGCTTGCATACCTTATATTGTTCTTATTCCTTTGGTAAATTTGGGGGAAATTTGC